ACACTTGATGTCAGAATAGCCATCATCAATAAATCAACAAACAATTGCTGGCAAGAATGTGGTGAACTCTTTTGCACTGTTTGTGTAAATGCAGATTGGTGCAACCAGTGGCAAAAGCAATATGGAGATACTTTAAGAAACTAAAAGTGGGTCTGCCTTTTGACCCAGAGATCCCACTTCTCAGAATATATCCAAAGGAAGCCAAAACACTAATTCAAAAGAACATAAGAACCCCTGTGTTCATTGCAGTGTTATTTACAATTGCCAAGATGTGCAAGCAGCCCAAGGGTCCATCAGTAAATGAGTAGATAAAACAACTATGGGACTTTTATACAAGGGAATACTACTTGGTCATAAAAAGAAAGAAAGAAAATTGTACCCTTTTCAACAGTATGGATGGACCTGGAGAACATTATGCTAAGTGAAATAAGCCAGTCAGAGAAAGATAAATACTATATGATTCCACTCATATGTGAAATCTAATGAAGAAATGGAACTAACAAACAAAATAGAGACAGACTCATAGATAGAGAGCAGGATAACAGCCGAGGTGTGGGGGGAAGGGGAGGGTGTGGAGGGATTGTGCAAAAAGTAAAAGGACTCATGGACATGCACAACAGTGTGCTGATTGCAGGGCAGGGGTGTATAAGGGGACTAAAAGGAATGTAAAAAATACAATAAAATTAATAAATGAGATAACAAAATTTTTATTATTATCTCAATATACTTTCATAATAAAAATATCCAGTGAACTAGGAATAGAAGGCAACCTTCCCAAAATGATAAAAAGTACATACAGTGTGGGACAGAAGAGTGGATTTACAGTTGTGAGTATATAAAACACAGAGTTTATTCTTTCATTATTATTTTTTAGTTACTGTATTACTTTCAATATGAACAACTACTTTTGCATAAAAGTAAACCTACTTTTGTCCCATCCTGTATAGGAAAATTCTACAACACAACTATAAAGTCAATAATAGAGTTACCATATGACCCAGAAATTCCACTCCTAGGTATAAACCCCAGAGGGAAAAATACATATATCTCTCTCCACACAAAAACTTATACACAGTTCCTGCTCTATGTGTAAGGACCTTGGAAGTCACCACTCTGTCCTAACTAGAAACAAACTTAACAAACTGAAAAATTAACAACTCTTTGGATACGTAGAAGAGGGAAAGAAACAGCAAACTTGATGAGATTGTAAATTTAACTGTCATCATAACTCACCAAGCCATACATTTAAATTTTGTGTTTCATCCCCAGAAATGTCAGCTCTGGGGTTAAATAAAAATGAGAGCTTATTTTAGAACTTTGATGGGAGTTTGTGAATTCTCAGACCATACCTTGAGCTAAAAGTTGAGACCTGAGTTTGTCATCACTCCTCACAAGTGCTTAAGGTCACTGAAAAGATTTGTTCCAACACCAGATTCTTATAGTCACCATTTCTACCAAAGTGCAGGAACCTCTTGGGTTTTCAAGGTATATGCTTCAGTTGGCGCTTTATTGCAACCAGACATGGTGATAACTTGATGAAGTATGATGCCACTGCATGACAAGAATCCATTTTGTACTGGCAGAGAGCTCAGCACTTTGTTCAAGATTAAAGGCATAATAAAAACTCCTAAAATCCTGTCTTTGTGGGTATATCTTCTGGGACCACTAGTCATAGCAATTCCATAATAGTCTGGATCCAATCAGGAGAGAGAAACTACACAGTAATTTGAACAAAGACAGTTTAATATAAAGGATTATTAACTATAACAGAGAATTAAAGTAACAAGGAATGAGGTAGTAAGAAGTAAAGGGAATGCTAAGGAATATAGAAATAAACAGTATAAGGAAGAGCCACTTCCTCTAGGGCTGAGATAAAACACTCAAGGGCTGAAATCAGACAGTGTGAAAGAGGACAGAACAAAATTTTGGCAAATTGAATCCAATAACATGTAAGATAATAATAATTCAGTAATAAGGGTTTACCCCAGAATTGAAAGGTTGTTAAAATATCCAAAGTAAAAGAATGCAGTATATAACATTAACAGAATAAATAAGAAAAACCAGCCCTGGCTGGTGTGGCCCAGTGGATTGAGCAGTGACCTGTGAACCAAAGGCTTGCTGGTTTGATTTCCAGTCAGGGCACATGCCTGGGTTGCAAGCCAGGCCTCCAGTGGGGGGCACTCAGGAGGTAACCACACATTGATGTTTCTCTCCCTCTCTTTCTCCTTTCCTTCCCCTCTGTATAAAAATTAATAAATATTTTCTTTACAAAAACCATATAAGAGTCTCAGGAGATACACAAAAAATGATAAAATTCAGTACCAATTCATGGAAAAAAATTATCAACCAACTAAGAATAAAAGGGAAGACATGTAAACTGATGAAAGGTATCTACAAAAAGAAATCTAGTTAACATATTTAATTGTGAGGCACTAAATTATTTCTACCTAAAATCAATAAAAATACATGAACTTCTTTTTTTGAATTCCTGCTCAACATTTTTACTGGAAGATGTAACAAGTATAGCAAAGCAAGAAAAAGAAAAAGCATACAGATTGGGAAGAAGGAAGTAAAACTGTGCTGATTCACAGATGTGTACGTAGCTGGTGACCTTTCACTTTGTGGGACCATGCCCAGGCCACTGGGCCATGCTGGCCAGGGTAAATCATAAAATTTCTAAAAGACAACAAAGCAAAAATTCTTCATGACCTTGATTTAGGCAATGTTTTTTGATAGAAACCAAAAAAGAATGAACCATTAAAAATTAACAAATTGGACTTCAACAAAACTGAACAGTGCCCTAAGTGGGTAGCTCAGCTGGTTAAAGTGTCATCTGGATGTAGATACATGAAGGTTTGGGTTCAGTTCTGGGTCAGGGCACATTCAAGAATCAACCAATGAATGCATCAATAAGTAGAACAACAAATCTCTCTCTTTCTTTCATCAATCAGTAAGGAAAAAATTATTTAAAACCTGAATCCCTTTTTCATCAAAAAAGACATAGGTGAAAAAAGAAAAGAAAAACAAACCACAGACTGGAGGGAGAAAGGGATGAAGAGAGGCAGACAGGCAGGCGGGAATGCATGGCCTCGGTCTTGTTGGGAAACATCAAACATGTCCAACTTGAAGTCCAGCATAAGGAATGAAACACCCACATATTTTAAGACTTCATGGACATAAGATGAGTGAGAGAGGGTGAGGGATGAGGAGGAAGTGTTGCAGATTAAAGAAGACATCCAAAATATAACAACTAAATGCATCATGTGTGCCTACATAGAATTTGGGGTCAAAAGGAAAGGAAACACTAGTGAGACAGTTGGTAACACCTGCACAGGGCCATCAATTCCAAGTTTGAGGTTAGTGTGCACTGACAGTCCTGACTGGAGGGTGAGGAGGGGTTACATAGGAGAGAGTCTTCATTTTGGGAAGATGCCCACTGGAGTATTAGCAATAATGGGACACCATGCTGAAAAAATTGGTATGTATAGGGAAAGAAAAGGAGAAGGAACAAATGTGGTCAATGTAAACCACTAGAGAATCTGGGAGAAGGACACTCAGGAATTCTTGGCACCCTTTCCGTATGTTTGAAATCATTTCAAAATTGTTTAAAATGTAACAATAAAAATATCAACTGAAAATAAGTAAACGAAGAGATATACCATTTTTATGAATGGAAAACTCAATATTATACTTAAACTGAGCTAATGACCTGCATGAAGTCACTTAGTAGGTATTGGAACTAAAACCATTCACTGTCAACCACTTGTTCAAAAGACTTAAATGGCTCATTACCCACATAATAAGGAGGTTATGTCAAGTTAGAAAGTGCCTACAAAGAACCTTACTCATCACCTAGTACGTAAGAGGGAAATAAACACCTAGTGTTCTTTCAAAATTCTCCACCAGGTATTTAGATAACCTTATAATGCAGCCACAATTTGTCTTTTCCTTTTTTATACATTTATGTATTCAATACATATTTATTGACTATCTTTTTTGCCTCAGTCACTTACTATATTAGGTCCTGGCTGGGTTGGGGGACAACAAATAAAATAAATATAATTACCCTTTCTGATTCTTAGGTAACATTATCCTGTCATTCAGCATTCTGAAAAAAAGGCTTTCCTGTATCTGAACATTTATATCAAAACCTCCCATTTATTCATTCATTTCCTTATTCGATAAAAATTCCTTAACTACCTCCTGGGATATCAGATCTATACCTATTTATCAAGGCATAATTCAAATGCTTCTTCCTCAGAGAAACTTCTTCGATAATCTGAAAAATAAACTGATGACTACTTATTTGTTCCTCTCATATGATTCTAATCACATTTAGTCCTTTTTCATTGCACTTTTAGACACAGCATTTTAGAGAAAAAAAAGAGATCATGTTTGGCAAACTCCAATGCCATGAGTGTAAACAGGCCAGTGATAAGGAACCTAAGTGTAATCGTAATGGTGAGGGCCTTGGCTGAGCAGGGAATGCATGACTCTCTAAAAGCATTCAAATTCACATTCTTCCACAAACTGTGTGGGCAAAGATGCACACCCTGGAGTCTGGGTTCTTTCATATAGATTGTTTGAGGTTCCAACTCCACCTCCTCAGTTCACCCCCAATGAAACAAGATCCAGGCAGAAATGACATGGCCAGTTTGTCTCAAAATTGTGAGCAGAAGCAGAAAAATCCTGGTGGTCACAATACTGTCTTCAAGGTTAATCCTGCAAGCGATTCAACCCTGAGCTTCTCAGTATTGGTGACCAAAAAATACTAATGACTCAAAAACTACGGTCCCCTATTACCCACACTGTGAGGGGTAACTGCGTCAATAAGGTGTTTGATAACAGAAGCCCAAGCCATGGTGGCAGCCTGTTTAACAAGCTTTTATCCTAGTCATACCTCAAGAGCATTGGAAAGGATAGCTGCTTCCAGGGGAACCACCTGGTTCCTCTGCTGCCTCCCCCACCCATGCACCCCCACCCCGCCCCCTCAGGCTCACCCTGAGAGATCAGCAGGATGCAGAAGAAAACCATAAAGCAGCGCATATTATTAAATCGCTGACAGCTGGGAATAACTATCCAGCCCAAGCTACAGAGCTTCTCCAAATTTTCATTCTCTTCTCCCGTGTTCTTGACAACAGAGGGTGGGGACCTAGCCTTCTTTCTTTTCTTGCCGAAACTGATCACGGAAAATGAAAGCGCCCTGATTAACCGGGATTTTTTCTTGACCTTCCTGGCCTCCTTGCCCTCTCTGGTCTCCCTGGCCTCTGTGGCCTCCCTAGCCTCCTTGGCCTCTCCGGCCTCTCCAGCCTCTCCGGTCTCTCCGGTCTCTCTGGTCTCTCCGGTCTCTCTGGCCTTCATGGCTTCCCTGGCCTCCCTGGGCACCGTGCTCCCCGCAGGCTGAGCCTGTGTGGCCTGGGGCTCCACTTTCACTAGGGCTTCAGGCATTGCAGGGGGTGTCTGCGGAGGCCAGGGCGTGGCTCACACTGGGGACTGACTGCTCCGACTCTTCCAACTGACCAGCCCGCGGGCGTGGACGTCATGGAATTGGCGCCCGCAGCCCAGGTCTCCAGAGGAAACGTTCCTTCTTGAGCTAGAGGCAAACATCCCTGCCAGAAGGTTGACAGTTGGCCTAAGAAAACTTCCAGGGCTGTTTCCTCTTCACTTCTGTGTGGGAAAGGAGGAGGGGGAAAAAGTTGGGGACTAGTACTATTGGATTTTGATAACTGTTAATATGGAAAGGACCAGCATAACTCTAATGGAAGTAATCTCGTTAGGAAGCAAGGAAAGAGAAAGATGCAATAATTGGACAATGGAACTGTGTCCCCCAACTCCCCCAGATATTACTTTTTGTTTTCCCAAATTGAAAAACAAAATCTCACTAGAAACACCCTGAAAATTGTTTAAACCAGTAAAGTCATAAAACAGTGTTCCAATGAATGCTCCTCAGTAAAGTGTTTTACATGTAGAAATTATCATCCTGGAAACTCTATCTCTATCTAGCCAAGGACAGAAAGAATTTTAGGTCCCAGAGTATGATTTACTTCCCCAGGTACAAAAGTCTAAACTAAAAAGAAAGAATGTAGGAGACTAGCTACAGGACACAAAATGTATGTATTGTTTATACAAAAATGTGACTTCTTATTGGTTTTCTTAGGCAACATGTAAGTTACTCAGATCATGTATGTGGGGATGGTAAACTGTCCAGGAAAATTGAAACTATCTTCCCTACCATGTAGTAGACACTGTGTCACCAAAACAATCCAGCTCCTTCAACAAGTTTTTGTGCTGCTAGAAATTGCCGGGGCTGGTAGACCAGTGAGGGGGAAAATCACTGAAGAGTTGGGAGAAGGGTCCCACAGGCCCCACCACTAGCCTAGGCCTGAACTTGCCTCTCCAGCACTCTCTGCCCATCAGTGAGTAGAAATGTTCATCTATACTGAGAGATCTAGTGTGTCCAATATCTAAAAGGGGAATCATCAGTCACTATGTAAGAAGGAGCAATGCCCTTTTCCATGTATCTTTCCTACTTAACTAGGATGCCCCCACATTGCTTCAAGACATTAATAAGCATAAAGGGAACACACTTCCTAGGAGGTAGGAATGTGGAGAGACTCATTTTATGCTTTGATACCAGACTAGGCATGGTCTGGAAGTAGAAGGGAAAAGACAGCTCTTTTCAAAATAAATGGTACTAGGACTTTTGCTTCTACTCAAAACACAGAGAACCAAGTAGAATGTAAACTCCACTCCAACAACAATACTCCAAAAGAAAACTGGGCAATAAAAACACTATCACCTTTTCTGTCCATCAGAGACCTGTATGTCCAAAGCAACAAGGTAAATTGGTTCTAAAGGCTAACAAACCCCTCAGAAAAAGAACGGAACACACAGGCTGTTTCACCTTTGGTAGAGCACCGGGTATTAGACCTGTGGGGTCAGACGAGACCTTGGTTGAGCAACCTCGGCACTCTCATTCTGTCTAGGAAAGAATTCAGAGCCGAGACTCAAACTATAAGAGAGCAGATATTTAGAAAATCACAGAAGTAAAAGAAGTGATCCATAGAAGAAATGGGCATAGATACAAGTTGGAGAGGCAAAAGAAAGGCCCCGTCTCTGGTACAGACATGCTGGACCTGCTGCAAGCTCTCCAGCACTCATAGTTTCACATAAAGCACACGGTAACTACAGGACCCATTAGAAAAATGTAAGCCTGTGGTTAAACAAAACCCAAATCCAACTCTATTTCTGTTGACATCAACAAACCTACATTAATAGTCAGATAAAAGAATCATCACTTCTAGTTATAAATACATCTGTCTCCAATTTTATTTTATATACAATGTCTTGAATTTAGTATCAAATGGTATAGCATATACATAATTGAGGTAGCAGAGAAGGAACATGAGGTAGAATTATGTGAAGATATGATGGTCACAAATTACATACAACTAATGAAATATGTATAACCATATATGCAATAACCTCAGAAAATTCTAAACAAGATAAATATGACAAAAAACACACCTAGGCATATCATAGTCAGGCTACTAAAAATCAAAACTTATTACAATAGTTTGAAGAAAGTCAGGGAAAAGAGAAACAAAAGTTGTAGAGGAAAAATTTATATGTGTATGTAATTTCTGATATATGATCAGAAGTATATAGGTCATAATACAATAAAACTATACCTTGAAAATATGAAAGAAAAACCTCCAAGAATTCTTTATCCAGCAAAATATCTTTTGAAAATGGGTCAAGAACTGTGAAAAATCCTCAACAAAATACCAGCAAACCAATCCAACAATACATAAAAAGAATTATGTTTTATGACCAAGTGGGATTTATTCCAGGAATGCAAGGTTGGTTTAACATCTAAAGAGCAATTCATGTAATACACAATATTGGGTTGGCCAAAAAGGTTTTTTTTTCTGTAAGAAGTCCTTAATGGTAATTAGTTGTCTTTAACTTCTTATGAAACAATTCATTAGATAATATTGGGACAGCTGTCATACAGCGTGCATTTAAAAAAAACTTATCAGTAGGAAGATGGTGACAATGTAGTTGAAAGCTGAGCCCACTTGCTAGTGCACCCAACTGGGACACCTAGCTGATCTTCCAAAGAGCAGAGTGAACAGCCAACAGAACCCCAGCTAATATAAACTTTGGAATCCAAAGAGTACAGAGGACACTTAAAAACGTGTCATAAGGAGATTCTGTAGTCCAACAGGAAGGTCCCTGGACCCTGAGCCAGAAACCAGGGCTGCTATGGGAGTTTTGGAGGAGAGCTAGGTCAGTGGTAGCAACCTAGCAGCTCTCACCCCTCCCAGGGCAAGGAAGTCCCAGTCCTGCTCCATAAGAGACCTGGACTCTTAAAGTTGCTGTGGGGGATAAAGAGGCAGTCAGTGACACACAGTTAGAGGTGTACCCCAGCTGGGGCAGTAATCACTGGCTAGGACAGTACCACAGAAACTGGGGAGCTGTGTGACACCTGAAGCTGGGAGAAGAGATGGGCCACGATTGGCCATGACCCAAACAGATTCTGAACTGGTCAGAGTTGGACTGTGTGGGAAGCCAGGTGCTTGTTAGGAGTGGCAGATGCCACCCAAGGGGATTTTTGTCAAAGAAGGAACTGGGCCTCCATGCAAGGACCTCGGCCTCGCAGGAACCTTGCACACTCAACTGCTGCACAAAGCTGCCCGGGCCATCAAAGGGGTATGGGTAAGATTTGCTCCCACTCAAGGTGCCTCACGGATTGATCAAAGGGGGTCAGCAAGGGCTCAAAGAGGCAGCAACAATCAGAGAGACTTTTTTCAATAGAGGAACTGAGCCCTCCATGCAGGGACCTCCTGCACACTCAGTGGCCAGGCCAACAAAGAGGGAGGAGGGTGGGCTCAATTTGCTCCCACTCAGTGCTGTCCAAAGGGCTGCAAAATGAGGTAGATTATAAACACCAGCCAGACACAAATGCACAGAATGGATAGTTTGGGTCACACACTGTGGGCTGGAAACTGGGCACCTGTGATTATTGTAGCCCAGACTGAGCCCTATCCCTGGTGAACCACAGGAAAGGGGGAAATGGCGCCCAGCCCCAGTCTGCCTGCACATCCAAGAAGACCTTCAAAACAGGCTTGGCAGGTTTAAAATCAGCAGGAGGCTTTTTTTCTCCTTTCCGGAGTAAAACAATAAGACCTAGAGCTGTGAGAAAATCAGAGACAGATCCAGAAAGAAGTCAGAAGGTAAACACCAACAGCTGGGACAAATTTCACTTTGCTACCTTTCAGAACTTGCTTTTTTTTTTTTTTTTCATTTCTCTCCTTTCCATTTACTTTGGGTTTTTCTTTGTTTGTTTTCATTGTTTGGTTTGTGTCTTTATTCTCACTTTCATATTGCATTTTAATTTTTCTTCTTTCACTTCACTTGTATTACAAATAACACACTATTCTTGGTCTTTTACTTTTTATCCTTTTTATTCAGATTATGTACTTCTTATCATACTATTGTTATTCCAAATCCCACACAGCACGCTTACCTGGTCTTAATCCATTTCACCATCCTCCTGAGCTTTATTACTGTTGTGGTTAACTTTATTTTCTCTCACACTGCACCAAATTCCTACCCCTGACTCTTACTATTTCTTCCCCATATAACCTTGCTTAAGCATTCTTCTCTATTAAGTCAGCTCACACTCTTTTTCCCTTCTAATAAGAGTCTTATTTCTTTTTCACCTTTTGTAAACAGTGGCTAGTTGGATGAAATATCAGGGTTATTGCTGTACTTTTCCAAGGAACTTCTGCTTGTTCAATACTTGTTTGTACTTCAAATCCCATAGAATACTCTCCCGCCATCTTACTCCATTTCACCTTCACCCTATTCCTGATCAGTTGAATGAGGAATTTTATTTCATTGTTTTCTCTCTCCCTTTTTTTTCTTTTTTCCCCTCTTTCAACAGGGGCTTTACTCTTACTCTTATCAGTTTTCTTCCCCCAACCATACTATGTTCTATTGTTCTTCACTGTGACATCTCATATTCACTTTTCACAATATACTTATTCCTGTTCCACCTTTATGAAACTTCACTCAGCTGTCATTGCTAGCAACCCTGCTGTAGAAAGGTTCATCTGCAATTTTGCTTCCATTGGTCCACCACCTATTCAATTTTGCTTCAAATGTCTTAGTATACTATGTCTCTTCTTGCCCCATTGTTGTCATCACTCTTTCATGTTTTATTTAACGTAAATTTTGTTCTCTCCCTTTGTTTACCTTGGTTCTATTCCAACTGTTATCAATTCTCCTCCTTAACCACACAACAACATTTCCCCCTCTGTTAGTCATTTCATATTCCTTTTTTTATAGCTTACAATATCTGCTGTCTCTCTTTACTTTTATTAATCTTGGATCAATTGCTGTTGAGACTGCTGATGTGGTAGGGGGGTTCTTTCTGCTGG